CCAGTATCGGTCAGTGGCCTGTTAGGAACCAGTCTGCACAGCAGGAGGTGAGTGGCGGGCAGGCAAACAAAGCTTCATCTGTCTTTGCAACCGCTCCCCAGTGCTAGCATCACTGCCTCAGCTCCACCTCAGATCATCAGACATTAGATTCTCATAGGAGCACCGGTCTCTGGGGCCGAAAGGGTTGGGGACCACTGACTTAGAGGGTGTTAGCAACATACAGACTGGCTTACCTCCCATCTCCTCAGAGCCTCTCTCCCTGGGCACCTCCTTCCCCACTGGAGCCTCATCCTTGCACATCTGGCTCTATTACTCTAAGCCTCAACCAGGGCTCCTCACCTAAATGCAAAATACTGAAATGAGCAAAATGACTAATTGCTCACCTTTCCCAAGGATGGTGTATAGCTGGCACCATGTCTAGGAGAAACCACTTTGTGATATTCAAGGGGTGCCCTGGGCATTAGGGCTTAAGTCTAGCAAGGCCCAACCCTCCGAACTGATGCTAATGTCATCTGTACTCCTGCTGTCACCTCACTGCTGCCCAGAGGACAGTGTGTACATGTGGCCTTGCCTTCTACCCGAGATAAATAAATATCACTACTTTTACTATGTATCTGTTATAATTCTAATTTTTGAAGCTCAGAAAACTAAGAAAGGCCAAATTCAAAGTAGCTGACATCCCCAGAAACGACAGGTTGAGGAAAAGTAACTTGAGTTCTCTAGTGACTCATGTGCTACATCAAGGCACATTCTCAGGTGAGTGTTGCTAACACCTGAGGGCAGGGCTGCTGTGGATGGGGCTGCGTGGGGAATTCCTGAAATGCCAGTCTTTATGTGGAGCACATATTTTGGCTTTCATTCTTGGACGCAGGGAAACCTCAGACATGCTCCTGTCTGGTCTGATAAATCAGGTGATGTCTGAGGAATAAATTTCTGGATTCTTCACTATCTGAATAAGACAAATGGAATCCAAAGAGGCTGCTCAGAATTCAAGAGTGCCGGCATCTCTGCAGTGCCAGGATGATGCACAGGGCTGGGGAGAGCATCATAAGTGCTGTGTGTGCAACTGTCCAAATGTGACCCCTTCAGCCCTGCAGGAGAGGCTTTCTCTTCCACTCTCTGCAAAGGAGGAAGATCAGGTTCGCAGGGCACCAAAACCCGCCAAGATGCCACTGCAGTGAGTGGTGGGCCAAGGTTCAAGCGTAGGTTGGCCTGACTCCAGGGTCACACGTAAAGTCTTGTCACAGTGTTTATGACACAGTGAGACCAATACCAGTCATGGGGCGGCAAAAGGGAAGCAGCTAGCACTCCCCAATTAGGGGGCACTGTGATGGGTGGGCCCTAGGTTATCTTATACCAACCCAGAGAGGTTGACACTATTTTTGCAGTTGAAGAAACAACTAGGGCTCATAGAAGTAGTCTGACCCAAGCCTGAATTCAAACCCAGGCCCAGTTTTTCACTGCTAACCGTCTCCGCCTGCCCCTGTCCCAACTTTCTGCACCAGGGCCTTTGCCTCCACAATCTCCTGATCAGTAAGGGTTGAGGCCAAGTCTTTCCTTATTGAGGTCAAATCTTTCCTCTTGACCTCTCTGTGAAACCTGAGGTTGCTGACAACTTACTCCTTGGATTCCTTCTCCAATTTGCTTCAATACTATTCTTTTCTGATGCCTGTCCAACATTTCTCATCTTGCTGTTGGTTCTTCCCACTCCTCCCATTCCTAAATGTAGCTATCTCAAAAAATTCTGCCTTTAGCCCTTTGTCACGTCCATCCCCTATCCAGAAAGGCAAGAGCCTCACTTACGTGGCTGCCCCACCTGTACTAGAACTAGCTCAGGCTTCCCCATGACCCTGCAACTGTACAGGTCGAGGCCCTCTAGTCTACGTGCTTTTCATTCACTTATACCCACTCAGAACACCCTTGCATCCCCTCCTTCAGTTACTAGCTGACCTGTGTTTCAAGGCAGTGAGTGTTAATTCAAAGCATAGTCCGTGGGCCAGGCTGCCTGGGTCTGAACCTTGGTTCTGACATTTAGCAGCTGTGGGACTTCGGGGCAAGTCCTGTGTCTCATTTTCTCCATCTGTAAAGTGGGAATAACAGTATCTACCTTGCAGAGTTGTTGTGATGATTAACTGAGTTCATGTCTGGAAAAAGTTTAGATCCATGCTTGGTGTTTAGCACGATAGGTAAGGGCTTCTTGTTACTATCTTCATCTGAGACAAGTGTCTAGCCTAGGGATTCCTAACTGGGGGTCCTAGTTGTGTTTCCCCCACTTAAGTTCTTAAGGTTAAATGCTCACCTTTCTGAATAAATGCATTTCTATAGAAGGAAAGGGCACAGGTTCAAAGGGCACCATGACCTAAAAATTGTTAGTCTACAAACCTCACTTTACAGGCACTGAGAGAATAAGTAACCTGTCCACGAAAAATACTAGTGGCACAAGTCAACCAACTCTGTGTGAAGTGCATGAATGTTTTCAAGCAGGAGGCCTATCTTGCTATGACAGTGGAGCAACCAAGGATCTAAGCAATACATAACTTTCAAAATGTTTAATTAACTAATGGGCTAGACACCAAGAGAAGCAATTTAATCAATGATATTTCTGAAGAAATAGTCATAAAGTTGCAGGACAAAGATCAACAAACCTAAGCAGGAAGGAGACTCAGAGATCACATGACCCGGCCTCCAGTCTCTCCCTCCAGGTTCCCAAGGTCACTGATAAGTAAGTGAACAGTTGTAGTAGGACCAACACCAAGGCTTCTGGCCCCAAACCCACTGGCACTTCCACTGAACAAAGTAATTTGAGACCCTCTCATCAAAAGATTCAAAACATAATATCTTTGTCTTTAGGAAAAAAAAATTGCAAAACATTAAAAAACCAACTTTGGAAATTAGTTTCTCCTAGAAGGTACAAGGGGTAACCAGAAAGCAAATTTAAGAACCCTGATCTCTGTGCTCTTCATTGAGCAACAAATCAAATATTTGCTTCCTCCCCCATATTATAACCATTAACTTTTGTTAAAACTACAATATTTATTCTATTCATGTAAAAGGTCACTGCAGTAGAGGAACCAGGAGTATTTTAAGTGAGTATGTTCAAGCTTATCATTGCTAACATTTAAGCCTACATTGATGGGCTGGCACTTCAGAGGGTCATACCCATCTTTTTCAGAAGCTCTGCTGGCAGAACAGACCTGGAGAGGCCAAGATGCTGACTTAAGATCCCACACGTAAGAACAGGGGTCCAACTATGGCCCTTGTGACCCTAAAACCTGTGTGCTCCCAAACAACTTCAAAGGCATTACTCCCCAAAAGTACAAAGTGTCCCATTTAGATTTCTTCTATGCATTTATTAAACTCTAAATGACAACCACTATACATGTTTAAAACTTTAAAGACATACAGGTCACAGAAATCTGGAGCTCACTGACTTGAGTGTCACCCCAAGCATGCTGTCTGCCAAAATCTGCTCTCCTGTGCAGCCTGCTGCATGGCCCTTCCCTACTCTGACAGGCGGAGAGAATGCTGTGGACTTTACGCCTCTTCCCTTTCCCTCCAAGTTGAACAATGGGTCCATGTGCAATGGCACTTCTAAAACACAACTGAACACTAGTCAAATTAACTATAAAGTGAAAAAACTTAGGTTTTTAAAAATTAACCAGTGAAGGTGTCAATAAAAAATACCATGACAGAGAGAGTCCTGGAAATCCTGAAATCTTAAGGTGGCTGTGGAGAACACCTGATCATAGGTATGTAGGTTTGGGTAAGGTTCCCAAAAGGACGTGAAAAGCCTTTTTGAGGCAGGCCCAACCCACTTGTCCCCTCAAGCACACTGAGAAAGAGGAGACTCCCCTGGCACAGATGTGGCAGGGGAACAAGCCACTGCTTCCCCTCCTGAGTCAGCTATTTACTGGGGGGAGGGACAGGAGAGAAAAGGACAAGCAGAAGGGAGGTGAACTGGAAGTGGAATGCTCCACAAAAAGCAACACGTGACATCTTAAAGGTGAAGAGTAACAGCCAGTTACCATTTTTCTTCCATCTTGGCTAGCTAAAACTGGACCTCCTAAAAGTCCCCAGATTCAGAATGATGAACATCCAGACTGGAGTAATACAGAAACTGCTTTGCAGAGATCAGGAGAGGTGCCTCTCCATCTGCTTGCCCTACCTGTAGGCCCCTGGGTCACCGCAGCAGCTCGGAAGTCAACTCCTCTGGTGTTCACGTTACAGGCCACACATATAAGTGCTCAAGACTCAAATTACTAGGGGTGGAATGAGATGGGAAGACACTGGAAGGCAGAATCAAGGGCTTAACTAGAAGGTAGGTCAAGCGGAAACAAATACTAAAACATAAGTTCTGGCTTAGGCCTGGCAGCTGAGAAAGACTGAGAAATGGAAAAATTATTTTTATAAAGGTGTTCTCAGAAGTGGCTGCAGGTTGAGACGGGAAAAGATGGAGGTGGGCTCTCCATAGGACAGTGCTGCAGCAGGGAACACATCCTGTACCCCAGAGTGGTAAGTGGGGGCTATGCCCCCAAGTGTTATGGACCTGGGGACACCGAAGGCTGTAGCTCCAAGACCTGAGAGTGACCCAGAAGTTCAGGGCCTCATCTTGTAGAAAGGGGCCAGACAGGGGTTGGAAGTGGGTGCCGCCTGTATTAGAGGCACCAGAGCAAGGCATGAAACACAGGATGAACCCAGTTTCAGACCAGGAACCTTGGGGCTATACAAGAGGGAACTGAAGCGGGTTCCCTAGTTAACTGGCGGAGGATGGTTGGGCAAGGCTTGGGAAAAGGGAATGAGGCAGTGCGGCCACAGCTAGCACACACCTACGGGAACAGTCACAGAAGAGCTGATGGTGACTGAAACACAGTCATATCTACACAATCACTGGCACTTCAAAATAGCATTTTTCTAAGGAATTTGCTACGTATCACTTTGCAACATTCAAAACATGAATACAATATCTGGAGTGTGCAACAACTCAGCTAATGAATACTTACCACAGCTATTACAGGAATGAGTACACCCAAGTTCCCTGCGCTGCTAGAAGCCTAGAAAAGAACAGAATTGAGTCACTGATGAGCATGTTTCTTTTTTTTTAAAAAAAGGACAAGACATAGTGTTGTGTAAAGCTGTAATTCCTTAATCTAAAAGAAGTGATCAGGAATATATACTGGGAGAGATGTATAAAGAGACTCACTCAGCATAATTCTGATAGCAAAAAAGTTGAAATAACTTAAATGTCAAACAGCAGACTAATTACATAAATCATGGTGCCTCTGAATAATCAAATACCAGATAGATGTGAAAAAGACAACTTTCTGAAAAATATTTAGTTACTTTGGAAAGTGTCCCAAAAAATGTTAAAAAATAAAACAAGATTTAAGAGTATATTATGACAAACTAATTGAAAAATTAAAAAGATTTTAAAAAGTATATTATGAATTACCAAGTATCCTCAATTATGTAAAATAAGATCCAATGATGTAAAATAAATATATTTGCATAACAAATCTAAGTGGAAGCCTGCCAAATTGTTAACAATGATTACATCAGAGTAGAGAAATTATGGGGCCTTTTTACCTTATTTACAAGTTTCTGTATCTTTTCCAAAATAAACATATATTCTTTCCAAGTTAGGGAAAATTGGAGGATTACTTGACAATAACTAAATAAAAGGTAATTCTCCTGGTTAAACACAGGGCTGCATATTTGCCAGTCCCCTCTCACCGCCCCTCCACACTCCCTTATTCCGTGAGGCCCCATTTCATGAGGTAAGTGCAGCAGTGGCTCAATAAACACTTGCCTGTACACTGCGTGATCAGTAAATAGGAACTATCTGCAAAGAACAGAATTCCCAATTTGATACACATGGATTCCCACACTGTCTGGGGCACAACCTCCATCCCCAGCCCACGAATGAAGCATTAAATCCTGAGTCTTGACACAGAACATGCAGAGATGGCAGGCAAAGGGAAGAAGCCCGTGGGTCTCAGGGGGTATCCTTCTTGGCATTAAGGTACAATTCCCAGGAAAGAGAAGGAGAATGGCTCCTGGAGATACCCTCAGACAGGTTACAGCCTCTATTTTCTCGATTGCTGAGCACCTCCCTGCCTCTTCAGAACAGCTCTCTCATCCCAATGCCAAAGGCTCCACTGGACACGACGGATGCCCCTGTCTCTTATACATCAGGATGGGACTAGCTGTGCACTACCCTGGGAGACTTAAGAAATTAGGTGCCCAGGTCACTGGTAGGGGGCCAGCAGACTAAGGCTGAATTAGAGCAAAGGGTCTTAAGATCTTCTTTTGTACTAGTTATGTCCTCTTAGTCAAGGTTTTCACACAGAAGGCTCCTTCTCATTCAGTTTCCAACCTAGCTGTCAACTCTTCAGAGAGGCCTTTATGACCCTGGCTATACTACCCTGTTTTGTTTTCGCCATCTCCCACTAAGCCCACAGGAGCAGGAACCTTGTCTATTTACTTCCATAACTCTGGTACCAAGAACAAGAGTCGGGAAACTACGATCTGTGGCCAAATCCGTCCCACTTCCTGTTTTCGGATATAGTTTTACAGGAGCACAGCCACCCCTGTTCATTTATTTAATGGCTATGGCTACTTTTACACTACCATGGCAGAACTGAGTAGTTTCAACAAAACACCATGTGGCCCACAAAACCTAAAACATGTACAATCTGGCCCTTTACAGAAAAAGCGAGCTCACCTCTGCCCTAGGCACACAGTAGGTGAACAGTAACTGTGTGGGTAAGGCGGGGAGTGGGGAGAAAAGACAAAAGTGAACAAAGGTGTAGACTTGGTAGAGGGAGTGGCACCCACATAACATATCAAAGGGGAGATGATGAAGTAAGAGGCTTAATGTGCCTCAACCTCCCCAATCTGTCTCTTTGGGGGTTAGAGACCTGACATTTTGTCTATCCTTGTAGACCTGTCTTGCTTAGACAGCCTGAGATTAGGCCAAATCTGGCCCTTCGCACACTGTCACTGTGTTCTAATGACGGCCTCAGCCCCCTGGCTTCATAATGAATAAGAAGAGAGAGACAAAGTTAGGGGAGAAAACAGGAGTCTGCTGTCACCTTATCACCCTGGACTGGGGGAGGTGGCTGCCATGAGCTGAAAGTGGATTGACGAGGAAGCCAACCTCTCCCTCGACCCCTACCAGCACCTCTGAGAAGGAATTTCACTCCCTTTGTTCTTACACTTTACCAGATGCATTTAAATCATTTAACAAAGAAAGTGCCATATTTCAACCAAGATGGTTGAAATATGGAGACTCAGCCCTGGCCTGCAAGACAACATGCTGGGCCACCCCCTCCCTACCTTCAGGGCAGGCCCCTTCTCGCTGGCCCTCTCGCTGGCACGCTTTCCCTCCAGCCCCAGCTGCACAAACAGCTCCAGCAGGTTCATGAGCAGCTCGTCCACAAGGTGCTCGTCCTGGATGTTGGCTGCGATGTTGGCCAGGGCGTTGATCACCGCCAGGGAGCAATGCCTGGGGGGCCGAGGAGGGTGGGGGAGAAATGACAGCCACTACAGGGCAGGGGCCACCCACTGCAGGGGGGAGGCAAGCGGACTCCATCCAGCCTCACCGCCCCTCAGTGCCTATGAACAAAGGAGCCCTCCAGAGGAGAAGTACACGCCATCTTTGTGAACAGCGGCCCCTAGAGGGAAGTCATCTACTGCAGAAATGACTGTGACCTCTCTCCTGACATGCATTAAAGGCCTCAGGAGACTGTTTAGGGTCTAGTAATCTGCACACTGGGGACTTGGGAACGTCTCAGGGCAATTCCCTCTGAGTGTCAAGTTAAAAAAGGAAGTCAAGTACTCCCAGGCATCTCCTGGCTGAACCCTGTTTTCCCCTTCAAATTACAGACAGCCTTAATTCATCACTACCACCCATAAAACTTTTGTCTGATGATCAGCTTCTTCCCAACACTGCCTCCACCTTGGAGCTTCAGATACTTAGGAAGTGCTCAGTGGTCCTGAGACAACCTGCCCTGGGATCTTGCCAGCCCCACATAAACCCTAGACACGAAGCTGGCATTACCCCTCAGCCAGATGCTGTGAAGCAGCCAGGCTGGCCAGGCTTCTGTGGGCACTAGGGGCAACCGGACCCTGCTACTTCCGTGTTCCGTGACCCCAGGCGATAGCAGACATCTTTGAGCCTCAGTTCCTTCCTGAGTGAAACAGGGATAATTCCCTCCTTACAGGGTGCAGAAGGACTTAAACACTCCATGGTGAAGCACTGAGCACACTACTGGCCCCTAGAAATCTCAGAGCAAATGGCAGCAGTGATAAAGGCACCCATTTCGCAGATAGGTAAATTAATTCTTGGTAGGTGAGGGCAAATGAATGCCGTAAATACTTCCACTGGTGAGACAGAGAGAACAAATCACTTTTGGTGGCAATATCTGAAAAAGATTTATGAAAGGAAACTTGAGCCAGAAGCTGAAAAACTGGAAGGCATGGGAACAGTTAAGACCTGCACACAGCAGGGCCAAGAGCAGCAAGAAAGGTCTGAGAGTCAGAGGAAAACAGAGCAAAGACAGGGTGGGGAAGGTACAAGGGGACAGGAGGCGCAGGAGTCACTTTGGAGCAAGGAAGTAATGTGGGCAAGAGGTGCTTTGGTCTTTGAGTCAGTTTCATTGAAGAGATCAGGATGGATGGACAGAAGGAGCTGGCCGCCTCCCCAGACCACTCCTCAGGCTGTTCTAGTAGCCTAGGCTTGTGATCATGGTAGTGAGAAGGCAACGAAATAATAATGCTGAGAGCTGGTATTTATCGAGAGCTTTCACATGTATGATCTCAACTACCCACACAACTGGAGCCATGTTCATTTTACAAATGAGGAAACTGAGGCATGGAGATGGTGAATATTTTCTCAAGTCACGTAGCCACATTCCTGCCCACTGAGCTGGATATAATGGTCAGGAAGGGAGAAAAGAAATGCCAACAAAGGGCCAACATCTCTTTCTCTCTGCTCCAACCTTCTGTCCTCCTGACTTCACCTCCTTCTTTTCCTCTCTTCCCTTGATCTCTGACAAACTCTTGTAAGATCCTCCAAACACAGAAAAATGTGTCCCTATCCTCAAGACATTCCCATTAAGGGCAAGGAACAGACAAGGAAGCATATCTCAGTCTGCCAGGGAAAAATGGCAAGACTTTTATACAAATTTAAAACATTCAAGGATATAATATGCTCATTCCCTTTGACTCACCAAATCTCACCTCTCTGAATCTACCCTGAGGAAAGCATCAGAGATGCTCACAGCTATGCAGCTATTAAGGTATTCAATGCAGCACTTACTAGTGGAAAAACTGGAAAACTATCTTACATCTCAGCTAGGGACTGGTTAGATAAATCACGGTGCTGCCATATGATGGGACACGATGCAGCCATTAAAGGTGACATGTAGAGGAATGTTCAAGGCATGGCTGATGTATTGCTGTGTTAAAAAGCAGGTCACTTGGGTTGGCAATTTGAGCCCATGTGGAGTAGTGGTGGGTCTGGGGTAAACAGCACTGAGCTCAATCAGCGCCAAGTGGCAGGCGTATCGGGATTTCATGTCTCATGTTCTGTGAGCACTGATCTGTAGCATGTTTTCTTTTGTAAGAAGAAAAATTGATTTAAAAGGCAAATCCCCAAACCTCACATTTTCAAAGGGAGTTAAATACTGTCATGATCTAAAGCAACAATGAGGTCCAGAGATTTACCTGTAGCCGTGGTCCTTATAATCTTTAGTGGCCGAGTACACAACAGAGCTGGCCTTCACGCTGATCTGCTGGAAGAGATTCCACACTTCCTGATAAATGTATTGCTGGAAGAGAGTAAAGGACACCGTTACCATGCCACGACTCTGCCATGAAAGCCTCTCCTTGGAGCACAGAAAAGGCCCCTCTCTTGTCATTCAGAGGGAAAGCTCCTGGAATCATGGACCATCAAGGGCATCCAATCCTAAAACTTTAACCAAACCTCAAGTTAAAAGCTAAACAGAGAATAGCTTTAATTTAAATCCTATTATGCTGTCAACAGCAAGAAGTTAGTTTAAACCTTTTTCCCCAGCACTCATGGAATCATTACACTATTCTCTTATTTGAAAAAAAAAAAATCTATTTAGTGTTAAGCATTTAATTGATCTGCAGTTGTTACGACTGTGAGCATTTAGTTGATCTGCAGGGTAAATTTAATCTGTATTTTTATACTCCTGATAGTCAAAGGAGTTTAACGAAGCTTGCATAGCACTGGTGGGTTTCAAGGCTGCGGCCTTCCTTACATTTCCAGTGATAACCAGGCAGCCCAGCTGGTCTATGATGAGCACATCAAGGGGGGAAGGCGGCTGGCAGAATTTCTGCTGCAGGATCTGCAGAATTGGCTCCATGACCTTTGGGGTGTCCCTCAGGGCCACTGCGATGTGTCCCAAGGCTCGGATGGTGTGGTCTGGAATCAAGTGAGCATCCCTATGGGAGGAAAGAACAGAAGTGCCCTGGTAATAGTCCTCTGGCACGCGGCTATGAAATGAAACCCAGCAGCTAGACCTAGACCTTGACGTCATCAGTCTTTCAGATGCAGCATTCATCTGAAAGTGACAGACAGCCTGGGGTCCTTAACCACCAGCAGAAACACAAAGTCCCATGCACAAGGCAGGAAGACAGAGATCTTTCTCTACTCCCAAACACTGGTCCAGAATAGGCATTCCAAGGCAGACTTCCTCTGAAATAATGGGACAAACCCAATGCACGACTCCAAGGTATGTAAGAAAGAAGCAGGAGGTACACATTGCCAGCTGCCCCCAGGGGCCCGCAGAGAATACAGGGGTTGTCCCCCTGGGATAAGACGTACTTGTCACTCTCCTGAGAGATATACAGCCGGTTGGAAAGGCTGGCCAGGAAGGCCTCCACGATTACTGCGTCCACTGTCAAGCCAGCTTTCAGGCACCTGAGCATTGAGAAAACCCACATGGCATTAGGCATCGCAATCACCAAAAGAGTATTTTGTGTTTTGTTTTAATTTTTCCATTCTCAGCTCTACAACGTTTAAGAAACTGCTCTGGACATTTTTTTCCCCCAGAAATCTGAATGAAAGTCATTACATGGAATAAATTCAAAGAATTGCTGCAGATTATGCCCGTTTTATAAGTAACTTTGTTATTTTGCCCAGAACAGTTTCCTTCAGCATGTCATACCCAATTCCAATTTAAAATTTCCTGTTGTTCCTTAACAAAAGTCACAGTAACTGATTCGAAAGATAGATGGTCCCAAGATGGCTGAGGGAATACTAAAATTAAATAACAAGGTTTTAAGAGCATGGAGAAATGCTTATGTTCTAGAGAAAAGGGGAAATTTTAAAAGCCTCTAAGAACATAAAATCTTATTAGGCACCTCTCTCACATTTGCCTGGCTCACAGGCCTCAGAGGCAGAGAAGAGCGAGAGTCTGACAGAAATGGAGACTCCCAAGTTTGGAGAGCGAGAGTTCACACTACAAGGACCTGGGCACGAAGGGACACTTGATCATATAAAATCTCTCATTTATATTAAAAATTACATGGTAAAAAAAAGATTAAAGAAAGACAAATGTTGTTACTCTGGATAATGGGCTAATGGATAATTCTTTTCTTTCTACTTTTCTGTACATTACAAAGTTTCTCTATTTTTTATTATGTTTATGACCAGAAAAAAACAAGAAGCTTTATTTTAAAAAAATGTAACAATTCCTCTTTTTAGATCAAGTATAGATTTAGGATTATCAAAAACAAGCTTTACAAAATTATAAGCATTTCTAATTTTATAAGAGTCTGCCTGAAATACCATTCCCTTCCTGCCTGGGTCACCTGTCTCTTGCGGGGCCTCCTACCTGCAGATGTTGTCAATGGCGATGTCTCGGAGCTGTTCATACATGGAGGGCTGGCTCTTCTTTCCCGGCATGACACTCAGGGTGGACTCGGAATGCTCGTTGGTTACACTGATTTTTATATCATTGCCAGCAACTGAATGTAAAAATTTAAATATGCACCTGGTTAAGCCTGTCACTTTCCACCCCCATGTCTGTAATTCAAAACCAAAATAATATGCTAATCATGTTTAGCTTATAAAAGAAATCTCTCTCAAAAGATTTGACCGAACGTTTCAGAAACAAGTATCTGAGAACAAGAAGGATAAAACACACGTTTAAATCAAAAGGAAGAACACTTACGTTATAAAGTGATAAATACGTAAACCAAGAATTTCCTAAGAAATGGTTCAAAAGGCCTGATGAGCACCCACCCCTACAGTTATCTAGTTAAGGTGCACAAGCCAGTATAGGTGGACGAGGCTGAGCGTAGAGGCCTTGAAGCCAGAGGGACCCCTCCTTACTCCCGGCGCAGGGAGTCTTTCAGGTGCTGAGTTGGGATTTCTTCATCTAAAGATAAAACGTCCACCTTCACAGGACTGTGGGGAGGATGAGCTACATTAGCGCCTGAGCTCGCAGTGGCTGTTTAATTAACGTTAGTCATTACAGGTGACCAGATTTGCTCCGGGCCCACGTCCTCTATAGAAACATAATATTCCCTTGGGATAATATTCCCTCGGGGAATATTATGAGGGGATGAGATGAGATCTTACACAGAGAGTTACTGGCCCTGTGTGTGGGACATGCAGGACTCACACTTCAGACCACCTCAGTAAGAAAAGGGACCAAAAAGAAAGCAGGACCAGAGAGGGGCCTTCAGTGGTGGCGGGTGCACACAAGAGGGGAAGGCAGAGAAGAGAAAGGACTGGAACCCCGAGGGGGTCATGTGGAGAAAACCGTGAGAAAAGGTGAGGGAGAGGAATGAGCCCAAGCGCAGGGCAGAGGGCACAGCCCAGCCAACACATCTCAGTCACCGGCCTGGGCTGGGCTCACACACCCAGTCACCTGGTCCTTTCCTTGGAGCCTCAAAGGCACACAGGGGCTGGGGACTGGAGATGTGGCCTTAGGTACAGTCATCCCCTTACCTGTGTGGTACTGACTGTGGCATTTATAGAGCTTCACCAGCACGGGGGATGGGACAACCAGGAAGTCCCGCAGAGACGGCATCACCGAGTGCACCACCACTGGGAATCTTTCGCACAGACGGCCCAGACCCTGCAACACACCATCAACCTGTCACGTGGCCCGGGGAAAGGTCGGTTGAGCAGTGAGATGCTCAACCCTTCAGATACCCAAGTTTGGCCAGAAACTTCCAAGGTCAAAGCTCCCCGGGGCCACCTGCCATGGGGCGCAAAGACAAGGAAGGGAGATGGTCTTGACTCTCCTCCACCTAAGAGCGAGATGTATTATTAAAGTGTGTGCATTTCTTTTTGAAGCAAAATAGGGAAGAAAGGGTACAAAACATGATTTTTTAAAAAATGGCAGATGTGGAGTCACTGGGGTTGTGACAATGTAAGAGTCTTGGCAGAGCAGAGCTGGCACTGCAGATGCAGCCCTCTGGCTCCCAACTCCTGCAGCCTTAGGAACGGCCTGGTCACCAAACACAGGGCAGCCTCCCCACACAGGAGGACCCAGCTACATCTGGATCCCACTCACAGATATCCCAGCGCCCGCTCCTACCAGTCAGTGGTGAACTATGGCCAAAACAGGCTCTAGTTCAAGTTCCTAAAGACAATAGCTCAGACTGCTGCTGGTGTGCCAACCACAGCCTGAATGGCATCAGAAGGCCCTGTTGATAGGATCTCAGCCTCTCCACTGTTCGTGAGACTGACCTGAAGACAGCAGATAAGCAAAGGCAAATGAGCAATGATGACTTTGCTGGATGTCTTAGACTGCAGCTTCTCAGAAAGCTTGATGCAAAGATTTTCTGCACCTAAATTCAAAATCAGAGGAGGGTGTAAACCATTAGCAAAGAACAAAATTTATAAAATGCTCATCCACCAATTAATCATATAATTAAACTAAATCCCAGACACACACTTTTAGGATTTGTTAATACTGAGAGTATTACGCCTGAAAGTGTTCAGAGGCAGGCGTCCTAACTGAAAGCTCATCTCTGCTCCTTTTCTGCTACTGTAAAAACACCTTCCTGCACCATATGTGACTGCTTTCTCCTCTTTGTTGGCCCTGAACCCCCTTGTTGCCCCATCCCCACAGCGCTCTGTGAGAGGCAGCCATCTGCAAGTCTGCTGTATGCTTCCTACTCTGCTGTTCACCCTAGACAAGCGCCTTATCCTCCAGCACTGAGCTCCCGCTTCTCCACAAAGAAGCCCAAGGAACCAGCAAGAAGCCCTGGAGAGAACACGCAGGCCCTGTGACCTTGGCCATCACTGTCCTCCCAGGTCCAGACACTAGATGTCCAGGGCATGGGAAGAGCCAATGCTCACCCTGCTCATCCTTCACGGCCCACACCATGAGGTCTACACAGGCGGCGTTTGCCTGGCAGCGCAGCTTGAGGGGGCTCAGCTCACTGTGAATTCGGTCTACATCGTGCAGAATCTTCTGAAGTTCTCCCTGGCTCGTGTTGAACTGCTCCAGCACAAAATCATGGATCTCTTTTACAAAGGTAGTTGGGAGGTCTGTAGGAAAGAGAGCAGGCATTGCAGCTAGAAAAAAAACTGCACTAAAATTCAGACCGTGACCATCTACAGTCTCCCTAACAAAAGCCCAAGAAGAGTAAGTTTGCTACTGGCTGCTGTGGTTCTAAGAATGCCTGCTGGAAAGAACTTGGAGAGGCAGTGCACAGCTGCCCTTCACACCCATGCCACCTGGCACTCAGAGCAAATGATCATTTCCCAGGGAAGTGAGAGCCACGTTTTAAGAGGTCAATATACTAAAACCTGAATATATGAAACACGTAAATTGGGATGTATCACCACTGGAACTGGTCCAATTAACAACAGGCAATACTTCAGTTATATACATATATATTTACTGTTCTTCCTTTAGTTCTACTGAGATACAATTGACATACATTACTGTGTAAGTTTAAGGTGTACTGCATAATGATTGTACAAACATATAGTGATTTTTTTTTAAAGCTTATCAGTTATCAGATAAGGGCAAAAACTGATTATAACCTGAAGAAGATAATTAATTCTCTGGCTACAAGGCTGGATCTTCAGAGCACCAAGAGTTTGCAGTCTTTTCAAATTCTCATCCTTAAAGCCTGCAAAACTCAGAACCAGTGTAACTGGCATAGGTCAGATCAGCTGAGGAAGCCAGTTAACACAAAGCTCAGGTGGGAGGGGAGGCTGCAGAGGGTTAGGCCATGCCAGGCAGTCACTGCCATCCTCCTTCATGAACCTATCCTTGCTGTGGTCCCAACCAGACTCAGCCTCCTCTTCCCAAGAGCCCTTGAAATCATCAGGAAAATGGATTAACTAGATTATGGTACATCTACACGGTAGATTATATAGTCATCAAAACTTATGTTTATGAAGAACATTCAATGACATAAAGAGCGAGCATAGGAAAAGTGTTTTAAAAATGCACAAATAAGAGACTGGAAGAAAATGCTGAAGTTGTGTGTGTGCTGCACTATTAAGATATTATCTGAGTTGTAAGATTATGAGTACCTCATTTTCTTTTTTTTTAACTTTAAAAATGTCTAAAGTAGATATGTTAAACTGTATGCATGATCAGAACAACATAACACGTTCATGTCAGAAAGATACCTGAAGAAATAAACCCACCACAAGAGCCATCACTGATGGCACTAGGGGAACAGGATCATGGACAGTTATGTTTCTTGTTTGCTTTTTCTCCAAAATTTCAGTAACATGACCATGTTACTTGTGTATGTTTTTATGTGCCCTCAACAGAAAAGTGCAAACTTGTGGCAGTGGCCCGGAGCCCAGTCTTACCGCATTCACACGCATATGCAAAGTCCTCACCTTTCATGTAATACAGAGTGTCTCGCAGCATCTTGAACATGGCCACGTAAAGTGGGTCGCTGAATGTGGTGTAGTAGAGATCGGCGTTGGGGTTAGCCTGCAGGGAAGGCAGAGGCACTTGACCGCAGCACAGAGACCCTCCTCTGGGCCTCCCTTCACCTTCGGGTGATGTCTAGTTAAGTAATTCTTACATTCATGACTTAGCATAATAAATGGAACGATTAACCATGATTCGCCACTTGGAGCATTTTAATTACTCTCTTCACCCTCTTAAACCTCAGAGAGAGGAAAATGAGAGGCTCACATGGCCCAGAGATGTGTGGCAGGGGAGCGGCCACCTGCACCCTTGAAGGAAAGACCACCGTCCTCTCACTGAGAGCTCACCATTTTTGAACTCAAGGAGACAAGGGAAGGGGAGGAGGAGAGAGAAAGCGAAGAGACCACTAGATCACAGGATTCCATCTTGTCCACCATTCAAGCGACAGACACCAGAGCCAGGGCGCCTACAGATTCAGCTTATATTTTGTAATTAAAACTCATTTTAAATTATTCTTTAGCTATCTAATCTAAAATGTAGCACTATTTTCCTCTGGGGAAAAAATTCATACACAGTTTAATGAGATGAATAAGATGCTATTCTTACATACATTCCCAGTTTAGAAGAATGGGAAGGCAAATCTTATTAGAATTCTTTTTCTTTTAATTAGAATTCTTGACACTCGTAAAAGTACTCTGCAAAAACAGGTGAAAAGGATAAGAAGGAAGAGGAAGCAAATCTGCAGCAGGGCCAGAGGGTGGGTGGGGTGGAACAAGGCCTATGACAGGAGGCTGGTGGAGGGCGTGAGAATTGCACGGAGGACATGAGTGACCAGGATTTCAAGCAGGCACTGATAACAGTAGCTGTGGTTACCAAAGTGTCATTGATGGCCACTGGCTAACTGCTTTACAGACATCACCTTACACAGTCCTCACAATATCCCTGTGGGGCAGAGATGAAGAGATGAAACTTGCTGAGGTTAAAGTAATACAGGGTTCTGACTCGGAGCCAGTGAAAAGTCACTGCAAGCAAGGAGCAGAGGAAGGGAGCCCAGATAATGCAGCCCAGCTCCATTACTTGCCCTGGTCCTCTTAGTCTGCCCTGGGTCACACATGACCAAATGCTGAAAAGAAAACCAAGGGGCTGCTGAGACTGAAAGCAGTGAGAAAGCGAAAGCTCAGGCCAATGGGCAGGACACAACCTGCAAAAAGGTCAAAGACAAGGTAGAAAGTGCCAGACTATAACCTGGAGAATTATAAGTACTGTGCTCTTCAACCATGAACTGGCCTGGAGCAAACCACGCCCAGCACATACACATCTATTGTCTGCAGACAGCTTGCTGGGACAACGTGTAGGGCAGAAGACACAGTTTGCAGCTCAGAAAGGTCCCTGGGGGTTCCCTCCCACTTCAGAGCTGACCTCTGTGGTACCAGACACTGTGTCTCACAACCAGGTGAGAGAAAGAATACTAGGCTTCAAAAGGAATCTGGATCTAGCACATGCCCACGACAATTATCAGCCTGGCAAACAGCAATCGCTCTGGATCCCAACACTCAAAAGGGGACTGACCCAAATGTTCCCTGAGGTTTTGAGACCTCCCAGCACCAACATCTAATGATTTTATAAATAATGCTGCAGGCCTTGGTTCTAAATATATTGAAAGCCAGGGCTTGTACACGCCTAGAAAGTGTGAGAGGTGTGTACTAAGCCCAGAGAAGTGGCTTTGGAAGCACCGAAGGAGCAAGGAAGGTACAAAAGCATGGGCTTCAGCGTCAGAGGACCCAGCAAATTCCTAGCTCCCATGGTGACTTTGTGACGAGGGCAAGTTAGTTAGTCCCTTGAACCTCTGTATTTCATCTGTGAAAGGGAGACACCAACCTCTACTCAGAGCACTGGAAGGTTATATATTTAAAAGAGGCTGGCACGGAGCAAGCTTTCAGGTAGGAGGTGTGTTATCATTATTGGGACTAGGGAAACTAAACTGCAAACTCACTGCCAAACCCTTTTCCTCCAGCCCCCACACAAAGCCTCCCTGCTCTCTCTACACAGAGGCTCACGGCTGACAGAGTGCAGCGTGATGCTCTCAGAAGGGACATACCTCTATCACACTGGCTGCAACAGCATCCAAGGATTTGAGAACAGGCTCCTCAACAATCTTCTTCACCTACCATGGAAATAAGACCTCATAAGGTGCCTGACGAATGCAGGGGGGGAGGAATGACA